AGACCAACATGAAATGGAAAATATCTGTACATATCAAGGGTATCAGTGGAACGCGGTGTTTATGACAGGGTCAGTGTTTCTTTCCAAAGACAGATTTGCAAAACCTCACGACACCCATTTTGCCAATTATCTGATAAAAGGAAAAGAAATAAAAGACGGGTCTAATGACAGAGAGTGGGTTCAGCGGGTGGTGAGGAGGTCATTGTCACGGGCCCACAGATGTGGGTGTTGAAATGTAATATGTGAACGTCAGTATGTGTCTCTGCGTACAGCGTGCAGGACCTTCGGCGTGTGTGTGTGTGTGTGTGTTTGCTCTGTGAGTAGTTGTAGCAGCTGTACAGATAAAAGCAGAGTAATTATGAAAGTGAGGGCTTTCTGCTGCTCCGGGAGAGCACATCATTCCCTGACCTTAAACACCGCTGCTCCCACTGTGGAATTGCTCAATTAGCCTGGGACAATAACACCAACAGAAAAGCACAAGCACGGACACACATACAGGTTTGAGGCACACACACACACACACACACACACACACACGTGGGGGGGGGGGGATACGAGCACATAAAGCTGTCTCTTTAAGATTCCAGCTGCAACAAACACAAGCAGTTAATGGATCAGAATCCATTCTCTGTCCTGCATAAATGCATGAATGTGTGGTGACAGAGACTAAAGAAGCACTTTGTCACGTGTCGGAAAAAAAAAGACGAGAATATTTAAATATCTTTTGAATATTAAAGTTAAATTACTAGTTAGTTAGTTTTTTTTTTATTATCAGTTTATTTTTTTCATTTGTTCACAGACTGATGTTGAGTGTATATCGTATAGCATGGTGCCCAATAGCTAGAAAGGAAGTTAAACTATGCATACAGACATACATATATATATATATATATATATATAGACATACACACATATATATATGTATATATATATATATATATACACACATGTATATATGTATATATATATATATATAAAAGCATTCTATAGTGCAGTAGTTCCCAAACTTTTTCTACTCTGTACCGCCTGAGAAAACACTGATCTCTCTGAGTACCACCATGATGACCAACATTAGAATATGATACACCACCACTGCTATAGTGTATAGTATTGACCATATATTAGAATCGAATGTGCCGTAGAGCCATCTGCAATTAATCAGTACCCGAATACATGTACATGTAAAGTATTTCAAGTTTGTATTCAGTTCTAATGTAGGTGGATCACTTTGCTGTACAGCATTGTGTGTGCAGTGATGGTGGTTTGTGTTTCCTGTGCAGGAGAATGAATTGTGTATGCTGATCACACAGTTGTTGACATGATGGCTGACCAATAGTTCACCTCTTTTCTTTAAGAACTCATTCTCTTTCAATATGGAAGACAGCAAGACAGGAATAAATGGAAACCGGGGAGCTGGGGAGGGGTTAGAGAGATAGAACGAGAGGTGCGCTGAATTCTAATGAGCAGCCTCGGGTCACTAGAAATCTATGTCTGTTCTTCCTAAAACACAGCAGCTGTCTGTTCTCTCGCAGAGCACAGAGGAGCTACAGAAATATTGTGATTAAATAAAAGCAGATTCTACAGCGACGAGAATAAGTCGGCTACGAACACAGTCTTTCATGAAGGGAAGAATCTCCATCGCCATTAATACACGAGTACAGGGAACGTCTGCTTAGAGTCTCTCCGTATAAAAGGAAACACTAAATACCACTGTGGTATTAAAGTGCCAAAGCAGTTGGTGAATCAAATACTTCTGTCAAATAATCGACAAACAGGATCAAACCAAACCGTATCAAATATAAGATTTGATATTTATTAGGTAAAAAAAAAACCCCGTGTTGAACCTGGGTCACACAGATGTGCACGTGGTGCTGAACATACAGCAGATGCTGGAGTTTAGTTCTCAGGTTGTCGGTGGCAGCTGCGTCCGCTGACACACCGCGGCTCCACAACCCTGAGCGACACATATCAAAGCTGCAGTTTGTTCCACCCCCACCACGTATGCTGACGATCACGTCGGGTTTCTTTGCCGAGGATTCGTGTGCGCTGCAGACAGCAGCGGTGACACATCGTTATCTGCGGGGCTTCTTTGGCAGTGATCCCAGAGTGGGCACGACTGTACGGCAGTGTTTGTTCAGGCCTAATCTGACTGCACCAACTCCAGTGGATTTACACTTTAACGAATACTTGCACCTTTTATTGACAGGTCCTTATGCACAGAGTCAGGACGGACTAAATCTGGACCCCACTGCACGTCTATGTGTGCTCTTTGGGAATGAGGGGACCTACATGGAGTGGACATGATTTCGAGAGAGTGCAACAATGGAATGTTCTAGACTCCTTTAATATCTTTGCACAAAAACAGTGCAGGTGTAAAGTCTACGACAGCAAAATATGGAAAGTTACATGACCATCATTGGACGTATATGTCTGTAGCGCCTCCTCTGGGAATGCAATGACATCATTAAATTACTTCTTGACTCAACTTCAACTATACTGTCAAAAGAGTCGACATGAAAAAAAAAGTCATCAAAAAAAGGCATCACTGCCCCAATAAATAAGCAATAGAGACAAAAGAAAAAGTTATTTCACTTGAACCAAAAATATTTGTAGTGTAATTCAATCAAACTCTGCTTTTTCTAAATCATATCATTTTAGTTTGATCACTGAACTTGATCTTGTGATATCAACCCAATTGGAACAGAAAGAAAAAAATATATGTTTCATAAATCTGGCATGAGATGGCAAAGTAAAGTCAAATATATTAAGGGGATAATTATACAGAAGCATGTATTAAAACATCAGCTCCTTTCATGACGCTGTCTTTTCATGGACATTTTTTCAGCAGAATTACAGAGCCTGGAACTGAGATCTGTCAAAGGAAAAAGCTTGGTAACTGACGACGAGGGACTTTTAGACCGAAAAGAATCGCCTCCAAAAAGAGAATAATTTGTGCTTTTTTGATAATCCGTTTGAATTGGTAAAACGGGAAGAATAAATGGAAACAGGCGACACAGAAAACTCTGTATCTGTTCTTAATACATGTTGATTTTTTAGATGAAAATACAGTAAATTATCTAAAAATGTTTTTTTCCACATTATCTTTCCCCAAACTGTAAATATTCCATGTATTGTAATATTCAATATAAGTAATTTCTGCTAAAATCTGAATGTAAATGTAAAATAAGGCAATCACTGAACTGATGCCATCGGAGAGATGCAGAGGAGTAGAACAAGAAGTCTTTCCTGTGTTAATAAAATCACAGCCAACACCTGCAAACCATTACAAAAACTGTATCTTTTTACCCGCTGTCCGTGACTTCCATGTTGACCACTAGAACAGAGTACTGTGACGGTAACAAGCCGTCTGCAGTACATCGTCTCAACTGTCAACCCAGGGGAAACTCCGCGGCTGCGACAGCTCTAGTGTTGAGCGTCGTTGTCGTCTGTTTAAATAACAAATGTGCTTCTGCCGCCGGTTCCTCAGAGCAGCTGCAGCTAATTAGCTTGATTGCAGGCCTAAATGAAACCTGGCAGATGTCATTTTGTGAGTCCCTGCACTAGTGTCTGCACTTGTCTCAGATAGTTTGCGGGAGAAGACCTGCCACTCTGGTGATGAGCAGAAAGTCGACTGCTGTTTCTGCTGTTGACGGAAACAGTGAGTGGGACATGTGGGTGAAAACTTAGCATCGCTGATTGTTGGTTAAAACTCCATGACATGTTGGATCATTATCTCTGGTGTTGTAGTACTGGATTTAATAAATAGCAGGTCTCTCTGTAATAATAATGCTACCTGATAGTGTTGGGAAGACCGCCCTTTTACTGATTCGGATCTTTGACTCTCAAACAGTAAAATGAACAATTGTGAATAAATCATTACATTCATTTTACAGCAGGTGGCGCTGTAGCCCTATTGTGGGCATTGTAAAGAAGGCTGCAGTTCCCCGACACTAACTTTGTTGATATGATTTTCATTGCAGGTGGTCATCCTCCAAGGTTCGTTGCAAACTTTAATAATTCAAACCCCCTCTTTTGGGTCAAGGGTTGGGGGTAAAAGGTCTGTTTGAACAGGGCATCTACTTTGATGCAGTCCAGGGATCTCACCACTAGGCGACACAATCTCTTTAGAGTTGTGGGCATAACTAATAACACACATTATTGTCGTTTGAGCCTTTGTTTAATTAAATAAACAAGCTTATACTTTTTTTTACCTGACTGCTTCGATGTGTAAAACATTTATATTCTTGGGAGAAAATAAACCCAATATTTTTCAAGGATATTAACATGAACCTCAACGCTACACAGCAACAAAACAAACAATTTAAATATACAACAGCAAATAATGTAGATCAGAGAAAATATCAGATAAAGTGGAAAACCAACCTCACAAAACAGTCACTAATCTTCCACTTGAAATTAATATGATGTGCTCTCCACTGGTAGACTGAGGTAAATGTCTTTCTTTAGAGTTTTTGACGTACTATAATCTGCTGTTCAAAAGTATCCCTTTCAAGTGCACACTGTGGCTGTGGTGTTATCACCAGGCAGGAGTCACACACCATGTAAATTTGCCAAACAATGGACTGTGCGAATGCAAACAGCGAGAGAAATACACTTCACCTTCAAAACAAGACAGCGTGTGAGAGCGAGGCGAACGAGAGGCCGGCAGGAGATTGGAGAGATGAGTTCAATCCTAAGAGACAAATCACCAGCGCTACCCTCCACTGCTTGTCCTTGGAGCTCACGCTGCAATCGCCCACACACATAGTCTGTCACCCACTGTCCCTGAAACGCACACACACCTGAATGCAAA